CATATGTGTATATATATGTGTGTATGTGTATACGTATGTGTGTGTGTGTATATATATATATATAATTTTCTTTTTAAGGCCAGTCCATGGCCTGGTGGTTAAGGCAGCTGGATCCTACATGGGCAACCATGTAGTGTGAGTCCAGGACCAGGAGGCTTGAAGAACATGCCGGGTGCATGTGTGTTCATGCTCTAAATCCAGGCGGGATGAAGAAATGGAGAAGGGATTGCAGCATGACCCTGACCCATGGGAGTGCTTTCTCCCTCTCTCTTTCCAGTGAGCGTACTTGCCCTCTGCCAAATTTTCAAAAATCAAAAATAAATTTAAAACTGAGTGTGAGTCCAGGACCAGGAGGCTTGAAGAACATGCCGGGTGCATGTGTGTTCATGCTCTAAATCCAGGCGGGATGAAGAAATGGAGAAGGGATTGCAGCATGACCCTGACCCATGGGAGTGCTTTCTCCCTCTCTCTTTCCAGTGAGCGTACTTGCCCTCTGCCAAATTTTCAAAAATCAAAAATAAATTTAAAACTGTATTTATAATAGCATTAAAAAAATCTAAAATGTCAGGGCCAGTAGGTAGTATGGTGGTTAAGGCACTAGACTCCCATATGGCTGACTGTAGTTCAAATCCTGGACCTGGCGGCTTTCTCTCTCTCTCTCTCTGGTCAAATTACAAAAAAATGACAATAAATAAAATAATTCTTTAAATCAATATAATCTGGCAATACGTGCACTCAAATGTGTCAAACTTCTACCTTGAAGGCTACACAACTTAAAAGAAAACTACACAACTATCTTGCAGGTAACAAAGAGAAGGAGACATAAAATGACTTGTACGTGAGAGAGCGGGAGGTTTGGAGCTGCACAAGGTGGGAGTGAGGGCAGAGTGACATTGAAACAAGAGCTAGGGGGTGGGACCAGCAGTTGGTGTAATGGCTATGTCACTGGACTCCCACGTAGTCGACCGCAGTTCGCGTCCCGGACCCGGTGGCTTAAACTCACGCCTGGTGCGTGTGTGTGCGTGCCCAAGATCCTGAGAGGAGAATGGAGAAGGGATTGCGGGGTAGCCATACCCCCGGGGGGGATGATTCCTTGCTTTCTGTATCTCTCTGTCTGTCTGGCGAGCGCACGTGCCTTATAGCAAAAACCTCTCCAAAAAAAAAAGAAAAGAGCTAGGGGTGATGAGTCCTTCCACTAAGAACTGTTTCCCCAGCCACATTGATTCTGGCCTTTTCTGTGGCATGTACTCAAAAACAGTCACTAGAGGGCGCTAGCGTTTCAAAGTCAAACCAGCCCATTGGAGAATTCTCTCAAGGTTTCCTGTTTTGCCCCTGGGGCCCCGGCCATCCTTAGCTATTTCTTTCTTCATACTTCAGAAGTGGGTATTGCCCTCTTCCTTCTTGCATCTTCTCAGGAGGTTACAAACATCTGAGAGCTAGGTGGGGGCGTAGGGGAGGGAACGGTTTTGCTTCAAAGCACAAAAAGAAGGGCCCAGCAGATGGCATAATGGTTACATTGCTGGATTCCCACGTAGTCAGTAGTGGTTTGAGGCCCATACCCGGGGACTTAAAACTCATTCGGCGTGTGCGCATGTGTGCTCAAAATTCCAAGAGAATAGAAGAGAAGGGATT